AAATGATTTTAAAATAAACTTTAAACATTTTTAAAATTCTTTCCAGCTGGATGATTCGGTACAAGTACTGAGCGATTATATAAAAAATGATCAAATTGGAACGATTGGAAATGCTCATTTAGCCATTTCAGACTGCAATGGATTAAATATAGACGTATGCAAACAAATTGCGAGAAAATTTTCACTGTCTTTGGATTATGTAAAATCTGGATATTTTGAACCATTAAGTTTAGATGAAAAGCCTAAAAAATTTCCCGATTTCATGGAAAGAGTTGACAAAGAAACTTATATTTCTAACAGAGCTCTGGGAGAATTATATAGAAACTGTAAACTTTTTGAACGAAATACAAGTTCTATTGAATTAGAAACTGTAGACTTAAAAGTAAGTCATTTTTTACTTTTAAAATAAGTATTTTAAAGAACTACAAAAACGTTCATAATTGATAAAATTTTTTTATTATTAGAAACTATTAATTATAATTAAAACTACAATAATAAAGAAATATATACAGTATTATATAAAATTTGAATTTTCTTTTGTAGCATGATCCTGATTTAATTTATGAAGGATGGGAAGAATATAAAAACTCTGCTTTAAAATCCAAGGCGAAATATGATTATCTTTTACAGTGCATTATGCAAAGATACGGTATTGAAACCGAAGTGGAATTAATAACTGGAGCTTTTCAACAAGTTCATGAACGATTTAGTCAAAGACACGATATAATAGACGTAGAAAAATTTCTAATTGGTTCAGTTGAAAAATTGCATGAACGTTTCAGAGAAGAATTTTATAAGGAGTTTGGCCTTAATGAAAATGAAGACAACGATTTTGTAAATTTAAGTAACTTTCAAGACAAAATTTTAAAGAAAGCATCTGCATGGTATGCAGTTACCTACTTATTTCGACCAAAAGACTTTCAAAATTCTATACGTTTCTTCAGTTTTCCTTGGATTGTGGCCAAACATTTGATTACTCTAAAGCTACAGAAATTTTTAATTAGACCTGCAACAACTTCTAATACGTCCATTATTAACTTTTTAGATAAACGTTTAGCGGATATGGCAAGAAAATTACCTAAATCCCAGAGTGAAATGCTGCTTCTAGCAAACTGTCATAAAATTCATAAAAACATTATACAATTTACATATAGATTGATAATCGGGTGGCTAAGTAGTAAAGAACGAATCGATTCTGCAAAAGAAGCATGGTTGGCTAAATACTTTAATAAATTCTTAGACAAAAACTGTTACTACAATGAAAGAAACGAAGAAGAAAATATTAAAACAATAAACATTATTAATCTTTGCTTCTCATTTTTGAAGATGGCAAGAAACGAATCTTCATTTCCTGATAATTTGCAATGGATTCCCTCTTATGCTAGAGAAACTTATCATCTTCTAGCTGCTACTGCAAATCCAAAGGCATTTTGTCCCATTGAAGATAAAAAGAAACCAAAGGAATCGGTGGAAATGGAGCCAATAAAACTTCTTATGAAAATTATTCCAGGAGATAAACATAGAAGGTTACAGACTTTGCGCAAAATTCTCAGCTGGTTAGCGCCATTAGATAATATGACTTTAAGAATTGACGAAAAAATTAACGTGGTAATATCGGCGAAAGGACCATTTCAATCGATAAGCTTCCTTCAAGAATTACTTACAACGGATACCGAAACTCTTAAAGCGAAATTGGAAGGATGGAACGAAATTCTTCATTCGGAAAAATCCGAACCGAATGATGAACTTGAACCATAAAACTTATTATGTCTATGACTTTATTACTGTATATAAAAATATTTGTAATTTATTTACGATAAAAATAAATATTTAATTTACGAGTCAGCATAATTTCCATTTTGTTAATTAAGTTAAATTCTATAAATAAATGATTTTAAAATAAACTTTAAACATTTTTAAAATTCTTTCCAGCTGGATGATTCGGTACAAGTACTGAGCGATTATATAAAAAATGATCAAATTGGAACGATTGGAAATGCTCATTTAGCCATTTCAGACTGCAATGGATTAAATATAGACGTATGCAAACAAATTGCGAGAAAATTTTCACTGTCTTTGGATTATGTAAAATCTGGATATTTTGAACCATTAAGTTTAGATGAAAAGCCTAAAAAATTTCCCGATTTCATGGAAAGAGTTGACAAAGAAACTTATATTTCTAACAGAGCTCTGGGAGAATTATATAGAAACTGTAAACTTTTTGAACGAAATACAAGTTCTATTGAATTAGAAACTGTAGACTTAAAAGTAAGTCATTTTTTACTTTTAAAATAAGTATTTTAAAGAACTACAAAAACGTTCATAATTGATAAAATTTTTTTATTATTAGAAACTATTAATTATAATTAAAACTACAATAATAAAGAAATATATACAGTATTATATAAAATTTGAATTTTCTTTTGTAGCATGATCCTGATTTAATTTATGAAGGATGGGAAGAATATAAAAACTCTGCTTTAAAATCCAAGGCGAAATATGATTATCTTTTACAGTGCATTATGCAAAGATACGGTATTGAAACCGAAGTGGAATTAATAACTGGAGCTTTTCAACAAGTTCATGAACGATTTAGTCAAAGACACGATATAATAGACGTAGAAAAATTTCTAATTGGTTCAGTTGAAAAATTGCATGAACGTTTCAGAGAAGAATTTTATAAGGAGTTTGGCCTTAATGAAAATGAAGACAACGATTTTGTAAATTTAAGTAACTTTCAAGACAAAATTTTAAAGAAAGCATCTGCATGGTATGCAGTTACCTACTTATTTCGACCAAAAGACTTTCAAAATTCTATACGTTTCTTCAGTTTTCCTTGGATTGTGGCCAAACATTTGATTACTCTAAAGCTACAGAAATTTTTAATTAGACCTGCAACAACTTCTAATACGTCCATTATTAACTTTTTAGATAAACGTTTAGCGGATATGGCAAGAAAATTACCTAAATCCCAGAGTGAAATGCTGCTTCTAGCAAACTGTCATAAAATTCATAAAAACATTATACAATTTACATATAGATTGATAATCGGGTGGCTAAGTAGTAAAGAACGAATCGATTCTGCAAAAGAAGCATGGTTGGCTAAATACTTTAATAAATTCTTAGACAAAAACTGTTACTACAATGAAAGAAACGAAGAAGAAAATATTAAAACAATAAACATTATTAATCTTTGCTTCTCATTTTTGAAGATGGCAAGAAACGAATCTTCATTTCCTGATAATTTGCAATGGATTCCCTCTTATGCTAGAGAAACTTATCATCTTCTAGCTGCTACTGCAAATCCAAAGGCATTTTGTCCCATTGAAGATAAAAAGAAACCAAAGGAATCGGTGGAAATGGAGCCAATAAAACTTCTTATGAAAATTATTCCAGGAGATAAACATAGAAGGTTACAGACTTTGCGCAAAATTCTCAGCTGGTTAGCGCCATTAGATAATATGACTTTAAGAATTGACGAAAAAATTAACGTGGTAATATCGGCGAAAGGACCATTTCAATCGATAAGCTTCCTTCAAGAATTACTTACAACGGATACCGAAACTCTTAAAGCGAAATTGGAAGGATGGAACGAAATTCTTCATTCGGAAAAATCCGAACCGAATGATGAACTTGAACCATAAAACTTATTATGTCTATGACTTTATTACTGTATATAAAAATATTTGTAATTTATTTACGATAAAAATAAATATTAATTATTTTATTTAATTTCGATAAAGCGATAAATATTTCAAATATGTATTAAAAAAAATTAATCACTTAGAAATTTAATTTTTAATTAGAAGATTTTATAAATGGGGGCGTTGTTTGTTGATGTGTAATCTGCAATGGTTTTAAATGTAGATCGTTTGAACTTAGAGAAGGAAAGGTAAATTTAATCCTTTACAGAGAATGTTATTTATATATTTCATTTTACTTATATTATTATTATTATTATTATTAAATGTCAATACTTTTACATTGATGTTATTTATAATTTAAAAAAAAAGAGTTGCGACTTCCTCCTGTAATACCTCAGTGCAATTCTCAGAAATGATTTTAAACCGAGAAATATGATTTACACTGTATTTGCCTTTTATAAACACTAATTGAATTAATGTTAGAACTTCGTAGATTGTATGAAGTCCTTTAAAGTTTTGATCAGTTAAGGTAAATTTGATCAAAGTTTTAAACTATTAAACATTTTATTTATATAAGTAAATATATATAATATATAATAAATATA